GCTGTTATTTTATTACAGTGAGAGTCAAAGAGCTGTTATTTTATTACAGTGAGTATCACAGAGCTGTTATTTTATTACAGTGAGTGTCACAGAGCTGTTATTTTATTACAGTGAGTGTCACAGAGCTGTTATTTTCTGAAGAGCTTGGTTTGATAATTGAAGCACAAGAAGAGAATGTTGATAGTGTGATAAAAAGTTACAAATCACAGAATGTACCATGTCATATCATTGGAAGTTCACAGGGTCAAGGCCAAAGTGCAAAGGTCAGACAATATTAAACAATCTAAGGAACATGTTATTGGTTGATTTTATTCCCTGTATCATCAAAGATGGTAGGGAAGGGTATATTAAGGGAAACATTTCTGTCCAGCGTCGTTACCGCTATTGTGTGCACAATAACTTTACTAATTCTATTCCAAACTTTATCAAACTTGGTCTTCCCTTATTATGACGGATGAAAATATCGTACAAAAATTGAGAAAATCTGATAAAATATTTTGACTGTTTCTACTTGACTGATCACTGGCGATACATTCAAAGGTCACTGATCTCAGTGGGGATATGCATTGTTTTATGTGTTCAATGAAGCAAGTCATTTATCTTGTAATAATATCATTGGTAATGTATCTCCCAAATCCCATGGGAATACTAGACTAGGTTTCATGACCAACTCATGGAGAGTGTTTTTGCACAATCTGATACACATTTGCTAACCTACCAATAAAATCTTTACTAAAAACAAGATGTCAGAAAATCAATATAAGCACTCCTATGAATTGGGTGCCAAACTTTTGATCAAGATCTGAAGTCAATAGAGAATCTGTTTATTCCAAAGTTATCAAATCAAAAACAATACCTAAAAAGCAAAACATTGGATCCACATTTTGAAGTGAAAATTGTACTCAAAAATATGTATTCTGTATTTGACAAGCAGTTCATTCGACAAATGAAAATAAAAATTTGGAGAAATTTGTTTCAGCTATTAGAACAGAATGATAGAGCTTTTATAATACTAATTTTAAAAACGCACTTCGACAAAACAAAGATTGCACTGTTTGAAGACGTTGATTCTCAGGAGGCAACAGTACTGTTGACTTCTCTCTCCACTGGACACTAACTAACTATTTAAGTTGATTTGCATACAAGGCAGAGCTTCCAACATGATAGTTATTTATAGAAGGCATTTTTTTACTTTTCAAATAATACAGTCGTCACACAATGAATATAATAAAGCAGTTCATATTTGTCTCAATGAATCATTAATTTTTGACAGACACTTGTACAAAATACTAGCAAAAGCCAGCTAAGATTTTCTGTTATCTTGTATGTTTTATGAATCTATTCACGTCTAAATGCAGCACATTTTTCTGAGATGAGGCATTTGTTTTTGTACTGAAATATCTGAATTACCCTGTGTGGTGTTTATAGAGTCTGTTGAAGAGTTTTATGCAAATGTTACCAAATACTGTATATTTGTTGCATTCACTGCATCTTGTAAATAATATAAATGATAACTTAAACCCAAAAGGTTTGTGTTTCTGTTGATGACAAGAAAGTTCTTGAAGAAAAGACGACAGAATTGAGACGTATATGGGAGGAGACAAGTTTTCGTCTTGAGAGGTTACAGTCAAATCCACAGTGTGTGGAAGAAGAAGAAACTAATTTTGGAAATAGAACAGCACCACTCTATAAAATGAGTTTTGATCCATCTGTTATGCCAGCCATCTTGAAAAATCTCTCTAGTAAGTAATATTGGTGTTCATGAAATAAACATAATATTTTAAAAAGA